TAGGCGCTTCGTTGACAGGAGTCCAACCATATCGAGTTGATACCTTGCGGTCTCATTAACTAACTCTAGCTTTTCCCTCTGTGTGAGGATATACTCCAATTTTGGAACGTGATGTAAAGGCACAACACAGTCTTCGTCCTCCTTTCAGAACCGGTATCGACTCATTGGCGTTTGGTGTCTTAGTGGTCGTTTCGTCGATCTTTAGCAGTTGTTGTTGTGCTTCTACGTCCCCGGTTGCCAGAAGGTGATGAGCAGGTTCTGATCGCCAACTTCGCTGCCTGCCTCAGTTCCACCAGCAGGTTGCGCGGCCCTTGGCGACCCCTGCAGCGTCCTATACAGTATAATATTCGATGACGGAAAATAGCATGTAGGGGATGTATCGAAGTTCAGCGGAGACTTCGCCACTGTCCTCAACCGGTCCCAAGGCCCGGTAACTGCGAACTTTCGAAAATTGTAATAAAAGCTAAATTTCACCTTGTTATCTAGGTTGGCATTCAGTGAACCCGCTGGTCTATGGCATTTAAGCCTTTGCAGTGCCAGGCACACTTTGTCCATTGGAGCAATCTCGCGCTCATCACGGTGTTTCAGGAGATAGTACTGATTATATGTGATGGCGTATTGCACCGCCCCTTGGTTTTGATTGCATTGAGTGGGGCACGTGTTGGCGGTATTTAAACAATCTACTGTTCGATGAATTTGACCACGTACAGTGTCAGGTGAATCTTGCATCGTTTTGTTGGCTGGAACGATCTCTCGAATTTCAACAACTGTCACTTCTTATATGATACCACATAAACAAAAAAGTATGTTCGTACGCCAGGGTATGTCAAAAAAGCGTTATTCTTCAAGATTACAGCGTGTTCCACCATTCCTTTGCTGCAAGTTGCATATGGGGTTATTTGATGAGGTCTCGGTTCTGTGGCATTTGAGCCATCTGCCACATTGGATGCATTTTTGAACATTTGATATTTCTTGTATGCTTTTGCCTAAGATCGTAAATATGTTTTCATTCAAAGGCTGCAAGTGCTTACATGTCAGCCAGCTGTAGCCTCCACATATGACATTCCCGGATAACAATGCGTTTAATCTGGTACAGATTGTACAGAAGGATTTTTCTAAGGGGAACCTGATAAAATAATAGAACGACGCTAAGATTTAAACGTCAAAATGTCGTTGTTGTTTGTCATATTTTGAGGTAAACAAAACTTGAACACTACGTTTATCAGGAGTGCTGTTATTCAGTCTGTTTGCAACGTTGTCTCAGATTTACGTGAGAAGTAGTCGCTGCTTGGTAACGTTGAAATTCCTAACTTGACATATTCAGTTATCCTGTGCGTGCAAACGCATTTATTAATCGCTCATCGCTCGGGATCAGGAAGGTCAGGGAAAGGGTATGAAGAAGCTTTTTTCGCACGGAAAACCGCATTCGGTTGAAACAACTGGCACGAATTTGCATATCGTGGCTTCGTTACTCTGAGTCATGACCGGGGGGGGGGG